TTAATACAAAAGCAATGTGAACAAGGAGCAACAGGTCATAGTAAAAAAGGAGTTATAAGAATGGAGCAAATTACCTGACAGTGTTCCTCAGGATTCAGTCTTTGGAGCAATACCATTTAATCTACACTTCCATGAACTCGAAATAACTATCAGGCCCAGCCTCAAAAACTGTGCACATGAGGCAAAGCTGGAAGATATTGCCCATACTGAGGAGGACCAGATCCCCAGCTGGAATAAGATGACCTTCTTGCCTGCAGTGATAGAAATTTAATAATGTGAACTGCAAAGTCATGTTCTTGAGATTCATCAGCTGGAAGCAACAGAGAAGGAAAAAGATCCGAGTGTTCTGATGGACTGACAGTGTGCCAGATCTGCCAGTACAACACAGCTGTGGAAACAGATAATGTAATGTTCACATGGGTTAGGTGGGATTTTTAGTAGAGAAGGAAATATTGGCATTTTTAGACAAGGCACTGGTAAGATTTTATGTGAAATATTTATACAATTCCTGTCAAGAGTGTTGAAAAAGATTAGCTTAAACTGGCATCAGTGCAGACTGGCTATTAGAGCAATTACAGAATTAGCATTTTTAGGGAGAGATAAAAAGAACATGACTTGTTCTGTGTGACAGTGGAGGAACAATATGCAAGTTCTTCATAAATGGATTTTAAGGTAAGTACATGAAAAAGGAAATAAGCTAAAGATTAACCTGATGTGAGATCAAATTTTTGTAATCTGATCAGCGGTGTGTTTAGACAGAAAACTAAAGAAAGCATTTCTGACTACTGAAGGAGATCAGACATCAGCAAGGTCTTGCAAAGTCAACAGTAAGGCAAGGAACCTAAATAATCTTAATATAGAACTTGATATACCCATGGAAGACTTGTAAACTAAGAAAATGAGCCTGTGATCAATAAATGTTTTGGATATACCAAAAGGGGCATGAAACAAGACTAGATCACTGTTTTTCTTGTGTATGGATCCCAAGCTTCACAGAGCTTTCGAACTGCCAAAATGTTCCACCAGCAGGGAACCAGTGGGCTCCTCCCAGCACATCCTCAGTGCTGCACAACTGAGTTTGTGAGGTTTTTTCACATCTCTCTGAAACACTGGACCTTTGGCAATTGTTCGGTTTCACCTCCGAAAAAAGAAATGTGGGAATGGGAAGTGCAGGGTGCGTGGGATGAGACCCAGCTGAATGAGGGAGTTCTCATCCCACACAGCTGTGATTTGTACCTGGGTGTAGTGATGTGTGGAAGGACGTGTGTAGATGTGTGGATTGGAGATGGGACCTCGCTGGACCAGCTCCTCCTCTCCAGCCCCCTTCTCCTGCACTGGCTCCAGTGCAGTAGCACATCACCAGTGGTGCAGTCTGGCTCTCCCTTTCCAAACAAAATGCACTCTCTTCCATTGCCTAAACCAATTGCTGGTTTACATTTTATTCTCTACAATCTTATGGTGGAATTTTCATTCCCTAGGTGCCTGATTATTTTATTCTTACTCATCCTGTAGGCCCACCCTTGGTAACTGAAAGTGGACATGGGTTACTAGAGACACTTGGATTGCTTATTATATTCCTCCCAAATACCCTTTGCCTCCTAAGACTTCTATTCAGCATCAGCTGTTCAGTCACATTCCCTGTGTTATTGATTCTGCTCTCTTTTATCACAGTATGGTATGTGATAAAGAACTTCTGCTGTGATGCCATGTGAGTTCAAGGACTCCACTCCTGTACCTGCCAAAGGTGATTCTCTGAACTACTGCAGGGTGGCTGAATGTTTGTATTATTCTTTTCTCCACAGTTATCATCCTCCCCACCCTATTTTATGAGGAAAGAAAGCCAGAATAGTTACATAACATGTTCTCAACAGGAAGCAAAGTAATTGCCAATGTTGTGTTTATTTTATTTGTTTCCATGTCAAACTGAAAAAAAAGCTCATATCCCACTGTGAACTACCTGGCCAAATGTAATCCTTTCTTGTATTTCTGTATTTGTGGAAACAGTATTAGTAACATAATAACAACACATCTGCCATGGTTTGAACTCACTCTGTTATGTTCCTTTTAAGCTCTTTCCCAATGATATCATGATCTAGAGCTCTCACACAGCCCACTCAGGTTGTCTACCACATGAAATTCTCTCTTATTTTTCTGGAGTTTTGAACATGTGAAATTGGTTTGAATTATTCTGATTTAATCACAAAACCCTGTGTAACTTGTAGCCTGTCAGGATAAGCTGGTTTATTCTCTTAGAATAAGCATAATTCCAATAGGCCCTGACTGTGCACTTAGACACTCCTGTATCCCAGTGGATATAGCACTGCAGGACATTTCAAATCCCAAAGGACTGCTTTGTTTGAAATTGGGTACTTTATTCATATGAAGATCCAGTGTCTGAGGTTTCTACATAATAGAAGGCATCTATAAAAGGTTTAGCATGGCTGGATATGATTCAGGTAGTGATGCCAATGGAAGCTTTTCACAGCTTGATGAGAGAACCAAGACTACAGGGAAAAATCTTTCTGGAGAACTGAACCTCCATTGTGGACAAATGCACTAGGAAAGATGGCAGCGGGATGGAAGATCATGTATGAGACATCCTGGCAGGATGAAAAGGGTTTGGGTTATGTCAGAGCAGCTCTGTGCTCACCTGAGGGAACCAGAGGAGTCACAGCCAGAGGGGACAAAACAGCAGAGCAGCTGGAAGGAACAGCACTGGAAACTTCCCCAATACTGCTACTGGTATTTGGTCTCTCGATTTTTGCACTGCAGAGCAGGATTTAGTGACCTATTGACAAATCCTCATATCCATCCTCCCGGCTAACTCAGCAGTGTCAGAGGAGCAGCTTTCCACATAAAAGATGTTTTTACAGGCTTGATTTTTTACCTCCTCGTGGCCTCAGCTTGTGCAGAGCCCGCAGCTGCCGGGGGTCGCGATGTCCTGCGGGAAGGGAGCGAGCTCAGCGCCTCAGCCCGCTGCCTGATCCTGCTGCCTCCCGGCACCATCCCTTCCCAAAAACCCCGGGGCCGTGTCCGCAGCCCGGTAGACACAAGGTGGCGCTCACCAGCCTCCCTGCAGCGGGATGCGGGCATTCCCGACGGGATGCGGCGCTGGGCACTCCGAAGGGATGCAGAGCTGGGCTAGGAACAGGCCAGGGGCCAGGAGCCAAGCTGGGCGAGGACTGCACACGCTTGGTCCTTGAGCAAGTGTTTCCTACATCAATGTCTGCAAATCCTCCACCTCTAACAGCTTTACATTTTAATAGGCCTTATGAAGTGTAACAAACATATTAAGGAAACATATTAAGGGAAAGAAAATTCGGAGAGCCCAGAAACATCTTAACACACTGATGTTAATCCTACCAGAGCTTGGAACAGTGTTTGCAGGCTTAACAAGATTTGTCCTGTTCTTCCTGCCAGATTCAGACAATGGCAGCCAAAAGGAAAAAGGTAGGATCACCTCAGATCTGCAGTACATTTTGTACTGTGAACAGATCTTGTTCACGTTTTCACTCTTGCTATTTTTCTTTCTCTTGGTCATTCCCTGCCTATGTATTTCTCTCCAGTCTCCATACTCTGCTTTGGCTGTTTCGTCTCTCAGAAAACACAAAGGAAGAGGACTCAGCAAGCCAAGCCCTGAATGACATGTCCAAGGCTTTGATATCCTCATCTTTGCCTCTGTGGCTGCAGCAGAGCCCCACTGCAGAGTGTAGTTCAGAGATGGATCACCTGTCCTTCCCTGCTGCCTGAAAATCAGCTCCTGTTTGAAGAACTTACATTTACATCAACATCACAGGGAAGGAAAGGCAACTAGACCTCACTGATCACAGTGGAACACTTTCCCTAAACAGTTGACTACTACAGCCTGTTACTTATCTTTCTGCTATACAAGCAGGTCAGGCCATGGATACTTTAATCACATAATCATGTCCACATGGTCACATGCCACACGAGCTACCTGTGCTGATCCCAGCTGGGCAAGATGAGGTATCTGTATTTATTTATATTGTATTTCATCTTAGAACAGGTGGTCTCTCTGATTTCTTGGCATCACCAGCATGTGTGAGGCCCATTCTTGCCTGCACTGACGTTTATGGCTGCTGTAGTTGTATGACTTATGCCAGGGTAATGCCAACTAAATCAAAGTTATGTTTATACATAAGAACTGCTTTATTTTTCAGGCATCCAGCTTTAGTGCAGGCAGTTTAAAAATGCTTTCCCATCTTTTCTCCTTAATACCTTGTCAGAATTTGATTAGTGCATTATCCCTCCTGTTCTCGCAGAACCAGCCTTTAAGCAACAGAATTCACTCATCTTTTCCATCCTATTCTTATGACATTTATTCCTAGGCAAATCTTGCCTGCTCCAAGATCACAGAGGACTCAAAAAATAGCCTAATCTGCAAGGATTGACTGCCAAGTGGGTGTAGAATTCAATGAGTCTGCACGTGGTGGCCACATCCTTCGAAAAGACTGGTTCCATGGCTGTTGAGTGTTACATACCTAGAACTTGTCATGGAGTGCAAGATACACATTTGGGATAAATAAAAATCCACTGCCATTGCTCCACATCACCCTCCAGGAGCACCACAGCAACAGCAGACCCACTGCAAAGCCTCTGGTGGCACTGTGTCCCTCAGCCCTGGGGACAGCCCTGAGCCACTGCTGGATGCCTCAAGGAGACAATGTCTACCCTTCTGCTTCAGTTTGAGTTAGAGAAATCAGTTTGCCCAGCTTCATCCCTCTGCTGTTCCATCAGCGATTATCCAACATACAGCATTCCTTTGCCCACTCTAAGAGTAGAATACTTGCCAGCTGACTGCTCCAACAGCACAGTTTAGGTTATATCTCATCCAAAAGTGAAGTACTGAGCATCTGCTACAAAAAGCTGAAAGACTTCGGTTCCCACCCCACTGCTTCAGTCACCTGGGAACAAATCAGGAACCTTTAAATGCTGTTCAGAGATCACAGAGATGCACTCCCATATCCATCATGACTTACCATTTTTTCAGTTGCCCTTTTGTCAGTTAGAACAATCCAAGTGATCAATAAATCCCAGCAGTTTCACAAAGGTTTGCTGCACACTCAAAGCTCAGCAGTGTTTCTCATGGTAGGGGAAGATGTGCTCACTTTGCCACTGCCTGTTCAGTCTCTAAGCCAGCCATAAACTGCTACTTCTACTTGCAATTAGGCTCCAGGTCTTCACCTACCAAAATAAGAGAAATCTGCAATGTATTTATATGTTTGTGCCTTGTTTAAAGGGGGCATATGGTGAAAAACCCAAGTGTAGAGTTGCTGACTGACTGATTGTGCAAGAGGCCAAGTCTGCATGATCTTTATCCACATTTTTACACTGGCTTAGTCTGTAACATTACTTAAAATATTCCCCACCCCTGAGACTAATCTGTCTTATTTAAATACTTGTCCTTGCACTGCTCCAAATCCTAGTACAACACCTACCTCCCAGAGACTAGATGTGGATCTGGAAAAGGCAACACAAAACCAGAACCAAATATGAGCTTCATTCTAGAATTGAACCTTCCCCTCTTTCTTTCACACGAATATGGTTATTCTATGACATATAAAAGTAAATGTTGGGCAGTTGCCCAAAGCCAGAAAACTTTACATTTTTTATTTTTCTAAAAGTAGAGGCAAAACAGAGAAATTATTCTCTGATTACTCTCTATCTGATGCTGGAGGGCTGTTTTAAAAATAAGTTATTTATTAAAAAATGCAAAATCCTTTAAACACCAAAGGCCTTTTTTCATGAGTGTTTCTTGTTACAGAGTTACCAGAAAGTCACATACCGGGTTTTCAGGGTAAAAGATGCTTAAAGAATAAAATCATTACCATAAGAGTTTATTTTTATGGTAATTGTTGAGCCTTCAGCAATTAATCTGTCTGATTCGCAGTAGAAAAGCTCTGACTGGCCTTTTCCTTAAAAAGGCAGCACCTTGCCCATGTCTGGGCAGAAAGGGGCTGCCCAGGTCGGTGGGTTCTGCAGCCAGACCACCCCAGGGCATCACACACCAAAGGACCAGCGATGAGGAGCTTCGTGCACTGGGTTTGTGACAAGAAGGCAGCAGAGCTCAGCCCTAACCCTGGCTCTAACCCTGGCTCCAATATGGGTTTGTGAAGTAGAGGATTGGGCTCTAATCCCACACAATAACCACCTTCCCCCAGCCTTGCCCGCGGGGGGCCACGTTAGTGCCCAGCGGGAGGGAGGATGGAGGGTTAATGTGGTGTCAGCAAGTCACTGCTGAGCTCCAGCAAGCTGAGATCTTGTGTCTGCACTGAAGAATGATTCATTTTAAAAGAATGTAGGTATCAAAATGCAGGCAGTTCTCCAGCTACATACAAGTTAGACTATCTGTTTCTTGCTGATACAAATTTTCGCACACTAGGGGGGAAAAGTGCTGGTTTCATGCATCACTTTGCACTGGATTGTGTCCAGTTGCTTTGCTTATCATTATGCAACTGAACCCAGGGCAATTCAACACCCAAGACAAAATTAGAAATACATAAATATATTTGCACTGTTTCTTTGCTCTCCGTAACAATATTTGTTTCACTCCCCAACCCAAGATGAACCGTACAGCACAAAATGAAGTACAGAAAAAATACCCATAATTTCTTTCTTCTGAATTGAATATTTTGCCATTTATTATTGGCTTGCACAGCAGATCAGATGGGACTATTTCAGTTTAAAATTAAATTACCATCTTGATTACTGGGAAAAATTCGTACATGGACCGAATCTACCACAAAGCAGCCCTTAATGTGGCAAAATTTCAGTTGATTTTCAGTGCAAACTTTGTCAATATAGGGATAAGCAAGAACTCAGGACTAATGTAACCCAAATTCTGTTTTTACCGAACTGAAGAAACTATAGAAAAACTAAACGAAGCAAAACAAAAGAAAAACACCAAAACAACACAAAACTACTGACCTATGTTTAATTTTTTGTCTCCAGAAATAATTAATGGTAACTATCGACTTCTTTTAGTCTCTTTAATCAGTAAAGAGTTTAACCAAGTTTTACTTATAGGCAAACAGCATTTTAAGCAACACGTAGGAACGACTTTGTGATACGCTTTCCCTGAGTAGGATCTGTTTCCTAGAATCATCTATCTTGTAATGAAGCAGTTTGTAGCACAAGAATCTATTCAGCATACACTGAGACAATATCACAGTTTTCCCTTTCGGCTTTGACCTCTTTCTTTGACCCTTTTTTAAGGACAAAGCCCAGCACTTAAATGCCTGGGGCAGACTGCACAGGGAGGTAGTGACACACAGTAAACAGTAAATAACAACTGTCCAGGGCCACAGGGAGGCTCAGCATCAACATCAGAATTAGATAGTCCCTCCTGGATTCCCTGGAGGCAGCACTTCAGACTGTACAGTAGTGGGGTCCAGTGATGATCCCTACTAGGGTAAGTCCTTACTCCTAAACTCAGCCATGTGAACTATCCAACTAAATACCAACCTGCTGCTATTCCTGGGGATCCTGCAGCCACTGCTGCCTCAGGAGTGCCTGCTTCCTCCTCATACTGACAATTACCATCTTGCTTTGACCAGACGTTGAAATGTTCCTCATTTGACTGGGAAGTAAATTGAAGAATATGGGTAATATTCTGAGGAATATGACTGAGAATAACCACGTCACCTTAACAGAAACTTCCATGTGTTTTGACCAAGCCCACAAAGTAGGCTTCACTAATAATACTCTGATGGCTTTAACCATGATGAGGTACAGCATGGAAAATTTACAGATTTTGGTGAAAACAAAGACATTACTTGATTTTAAATGAAAGCAGTAGAGAAAAAAAGATTCAATTCATATTAATGATCCACAGCTTCTGTAGCTATCAGATCCACCTTGTTAAGGAGTTTCCAAATGCTAATTATAACACAATTTTAATGGGAAACCTTTGTCTTATTGCAGTTCAGGTCCTGTTGGCACTTAAGCCAATGGGAATTTTGCCATTGATTTCAATGGAAACAGGAAGTCTCATTTAGTGGGCATTTATAAATATCATGTGTTTGTCCCTACAAATTATAAATTATGGTCCTGCTTGCAAGATTAAATCTTACTCCATTCCCAGCAGAAAGCCATGGAATTTCCTTGTCTTGGACCCAGGAACACTGTGTGGTCTGTGTGTTGTATTTATTCAACTCAATTCATTTGCCCAGAAAATCTCTTTCTGGTCGGAGAGATTTCTTAACGCAGGATAAAACCACCAGTGCAATTCTCTGAGCAATTCTTCTTCTTATAAAGCTGTAAACACAAAAATCATAAAGAAAAGTCCGACATAGCTACAACACACGTACAGAGCCTGACTTTCCATGCACAGAGAAAAGTCCTTTCCAAGGATTTTTTCAAATGCAAAAGATCATTTCTTTGTAAATTCCTAAGCTGGGAGGATTTAAATACAAATAAAAAGTTGAGAGGCCACAATCTCAATCCTGAGAAACTCAAAAATTTAATGGGAACGAAAAGCACAGAAAAATAATATAAATAGGAGCACGTAATAAATTTCAATGTTGTCATACTTACTGATGCCATAAGGAAAACTGTTATATAGGCACTTTACCCTAATCAAAACACATGAAGAGATTGACTCCACAGCCTGTATTCTTTAAATTCCCCCTCAGTCCTTACCAGAGCTTTATTTAGAAATTTGCCAGGACTCCTGTTTCCTGTAACTTCACAGCTGCAGAGTTTACGATGCCATTCACCACCAAGCAGACACTGCCTGCAGAAATGTCAGGGGATGCAAAACTATCTCAGAAAGATCTGGAAAGTGCTCGGCGTTCCCCAGAACAGAAACAGGTGTTACCACCAGGGAAAGGCTCCTGTCACAATATGGTTCAAAGAAATGGACTTTAGAACACTAATTGTAAATATTTTGAAGTCGATACAATACAGGCAGTGCAGTACCTTTGTTTGGGGAGGGGGCCTAAATTTCAGTGTTAAGAAGAGTCATTTTGTCCACGTTTTCCACCAGCAGTTCTACTATGATATCTACAGATAGATTTTTAAAACTCAGAACTCAATCAGCTCCCTCAAAAACCTAACTCTACAAGTCTGATGTTATCAACTGTGAGATAAAGGCAAAAATAGGTGTTTTGTCCACACTAACTCTCTTGCACAGATGTGCTCTAGGCAACATCAGAAAATCTGTCCCTTCTCCCGAGCTCATCAAGACTGCACATTTTCCACTGCATGAGAGGAAATCTGATGCTTCATTTTTACCAGCACCATGGAGAAAAGAGACTAAGTCCTTGAGAATTACAAATGACTGCATTTAAAGAAACTATCTTTCACCTCAAAGCCATACCTCTTTCCCCAAGTAGGCACGATCTGATACAATTTGAAACCAGTATGTGGGATGTAATAAACAGGAGAAGCTGAAGAGAATTTGGATGCCAGTGATTCTTTTGGGTATGGAGGCAGAGTGTATTTCCCAAACACAGAACTCAGTGTTTTTGTTAAATATAGCCCTAAACTCTCGCTATGCTTGGAAGCATGTGTCAGCTTTATCTGCATTGACCAGGCTGTAATTTTACACCATGTCAGGGATCCATAAAAACAGTCTTGACACAAACTAGGTCTGTTTAGCTCACTGAGAGCCTCTGCTTTTAGAAAACCCCGGGGCTGGAGTGAAATTCATGGTCTTTTTAAATTTTGTACCGCTGCTTTCGCACCAGGATCACACCACGAGTGGTGTGAGCAGCAGCACAAGCACAAGTCCTTGCTGCAGTATTATTCAGCTTTGCTCAGTATAAGCAAAGTGGGAGGAACACACATGGTCCCCTGAGAGTAGAGTTTTGGAAAAAAACGATTTTTTACTTCACAATTTTGGTGGAACAGAATTTCCCACCAACAAGTGGGATCTATTAAGCCTTTTTTATTTTCTACTGAATTCATTGTTATTAAGGAACTACACTAATAACAGCAGAAATAAAGAATATTTGAGACATCATCCTTTAAATCTGAGCTTTCCTACTGATGCTATTTTCTTTTAAATTAAATGCTCTGCCATCATCAGACAAACAAGTCTGCCTGGTTCTCTTAAGAATGTTGCTAAAACCATCATGGGGATTTTGGGTTAGCTGAGACACAGGATATCTGATCTAGCAATTCCTAACTGGAATTTCCTTACTAGCTGAAACAGTAGAGGACAAGCTGAATTATCGAAATCATCAGACAACTTAAAAAAGGTCCTAAATTAAGTGGTGGAGTTAAACATAGTGATTTGCCTCTGCTAGGCTGGAGTGCAGGGAAACAAAGATCATTTTGAAAAGTATTCTTTGAGTCAAATTAATTTGATTCTAAATGAAGTCCACAATAATTTTTCTATGTTAAGCCTTTTTCACCCCTCACACTCTTCAAAACGATCAGAAAGGAAACTACATAGAAATCTTGTTTGTTGCTTTAATTGTGAACATTTCTCATCTATAATTCCATGTTTTTTTAATCTCTCCCATCTGCTCTGCATGTGTTCAGCATTTCCTGGACACAAACCGAGAGTTTAGTAGCACTATTAGCTCAGTTCTGAATTTCTTCCATCAAGCCCATGTCACACCAAGCAAGCAGGTTGGGATACTCAGTCTCACTCCTGCTGTTCATGGCAGGGCTGGAAATCTGTTGCAGGAACTGGGCTGCGGGCACTGCTTGCACTCGGAGGGATGGAAGATCCTTCAGGAAAACAAACAGCTGCTCTGTTTCAATGGGGCTCACCCAGAATACTTCATATAAGCAGGAAAAATCTCAGACTCTCCCCAGTCATGAGACAGTATCTCAAAACAGATTTTGCTCTGTTGAGGAAGCTGAATTTCAGGCTGTTTTTTCTCCCTGAGAGGCTGAAAAATGGCTCTGCACTGCCCAGAGACATCTGAGAGTGTCCCCAGAGCCACAGGCTCAAACTGGGCTTGCTGGGGAAGCTGAGATGACAAGGGCCAGAGCACCATGGCTTCAATCCCGAGTCAGCACTCCCAAATCCCACCTTCCTGGCGATATCCCTACACAGGGGATACTCCACAGAGTGCAGCCTCCAGGAGGTTTATGGATGTTCCTGTCGTGGAAAGGGAGTTGCAGCATTTTAGCCTCTAAAGATTGTACCTTCATTTTCCTTTTTACTGGTTGGGTCTGTTTCTCTAACAGCAGTCTTGCTATTTTTGCCGTTGTTGTTGTTTATGCAGCTTTCCTTGGAAAACTCCAGGGGATTGCTGAAGAAGTGGCAGAATTAGGACACCAAGATACAGTGAAAGCGATGCCTGATTATCAGGTTGTGTTTTTCATACTCCTAGTTTTAAAACTGGGTGAAATCCAATTCCACTCACTCAAAGGAAATCCTCCTTTTGGAAAGATGACCTGCTGACCATATCAGCAAAGAGAAGTTTCCATGTTTTTGGTTTATTAATAACGCTGAGCTGTCCATATAATCAGGGTCTAAACAGAAACATATTCTGCAAATAAAGGTGGTTACAGAAGATGTTCAGGTAAATGCCCCGGAGCAGCAGGTCACCCCAGTGCAGGGAGTCTCTCCCTCAGATCCATCAGAGTCATTGCCCTCAGATCCATCCAGAGTCAACCTCTCTGGACTGGCTCTGTCAAGGATTAGGCTGATCATTTCAGGTGCTGGCACTGCCATAGCTGCTTATAGACATTTGAATTTAAAAGTGGTGTCCTTACATATCAATTTCAACAAGGCTTAGAACAACTTTCAAGCATTACTCAACAGATGCTTCTCTCTCTGTTTTGTATTATCTACATGTTTAATAGAAAAATATGCTTATTACCCATGAATGTTAAACCTTGTCACTTTGTACTTTTCTCCAAAGCATGACTGGAACTCTTCTACTCATTCTAATAATGCACACATTTTAATGCCTATGCCAAAAAAATTTCCATCATTCATAACCAGAAGCATTCATAATTTAAATGACTGTCTCTGCTGTTGATGGCACCATCAATTACAAGGTTAGGTGATGGGCAAGATCTGCACTGATTAACATGCATTTTTCAACGTGGCTGTTCAGAGAGAATTTATATAACTGCAACTCTCAGGGAATAGCTGGGATTTGGTATTCTGAAAATACCTTGCCATGGGATTCTGAGATAACAGCCTTGGACCACTTCTTAGGAAAGGTTTCACATTTCATTTGATAATCAAGTTTCAGTAACATCACATTGTCCACAGAAGTCATTAACTTTCCAGAAAAAATTCTACATGCCCAGTTTTGCCCAGAACTCCAGCTTGTACAGCCCAGCTCAGCATTCTGTAGGACACACAGTGCACTTGCAAAATGGTCTTACTTTTCAAATTCAGCAAAGCACTTAAGCATTTATTCTGCTTAACACCTGTTTTCATCCACCTCTACTCAGAAAGGGACAAGCCAATGGGGAGAATTCAGGAATCAGCAAGACACCTTCTACTCTCGGTATCTGGATTTTCAAATCTAGGGGATGCTATACGGTATAGCCAAATGCAAAAGTCAAAAAATAATAAGTCAAATCCTTCAAATTGTGAGACTGATCCAAGAATCTCAAGAGTTTTGTTCACCTACTTCTTGTCTCTGTACTCTAAAGCTACTC